AAAAAAAAAAAAAAACAAACATTATTTCTGGGTGATGCCTGTGGCTCAGTGGGTAGGGCACTGGCCCTATATACCTAGGATGGGGGGTTCACACCCCCTGACCCTGGCCAAATTGCCACAAAAATATAGCTGGGCATTGTGCCCTGTGGAGGGTGCCCGTAGTCCCAGCTACTCAGGAGGCTGAGGAAAGAGAATCACCTAAGCTCAGGAGTTAGAGGTTGCTGTGAGTTGTGATGCGATGGCACTCTACCCAGGGTAAGTCTGTCTCTACAAAAAAAAAAAAAAATTCTACCCCTAAAGACAGGGGTACTGTCTCCAAACTAATATTAAAGAACCATTGAGGGAACACAAGTGAAAAGAATAGATGAGTGAGTACATCAGCTTTCTTGTGTACTTAAATCCTGAAGTAATGTTATTCATGAAAATGAAAAGGACCAAAGAAACGATTAACCTACTCTTAGGTATTCAGTATTGAAGCATAAACGAAATCTCAACTGCTTCATTACCCAAGAGACTTCAATAAAACAAGTTTAAATCCTAAGTCTTCAAGTAAAATTTTCAAAATAGTCCCTATGTAGCTTGTTACCTTCAAAAACACTCAAGCAACCTTAGGAGCCCTTCAAATGTTATAGATGCTTCTAGAACAAAAATACATGTTTATACATAATATATTCAAAGAAGAAACAAATTATAATGCAAAAGTATAGAAGTACAGAATTTAGGTAATATTTTGAGTACGTCCTGCTAACTATTGGCAATCTGGTCAGAAAGATCTGTTACAGAGTAGTATTCAAAGTTTCAGTCATGCACTCACAGACAGACAGTGCATTCACCAGTGCACAGAGTGATTCTCTATCTTTGAACATTCCTAGAGTCCCCTTAGCCCTCTGGTTGGTTTGGAAATCACAGTAGTAACTGACAAGTTACTTATCATCTCTGATAAGACACCAAACATGGCACTAACGTCATCTAACAAAATTCAACAGACTAGTGAAAGAAGTACTGTTTTAGGAAAAAAAAAATCCAGTTCCCAGGGCAGCCTTTCCACTTATAAAGGGAACCTAAGGAAGTCACAACCACTCGAGATCTTGAGCAGGCAACCCGTTACAAAAACCTGGAGGAAACAGTGTTCTAAAAAGGTAAATTACCTTTTTATAATAAAAAAGTTGTCATTTTCAAGGAAGTATTACATACGTTTTTAGGATCTTTTCTTTTTTATTCACTAGAAAAATATTCACGCATGTGTATGGTTTATAAAAGATTAAAGTAAGGCTAAAATTTCTATCATCTGTTATGAAAACATAATACAAAACTTACAGCAAAAAGCTTGTAGAGCTTCTAATAAAACACTGGGGCTTGGCGCCTGTGGCTCAAGTGGCGGGTTTGGATAAAATAAAAAAATAAATAAAATAAAATACTGGGTTTAAGTCAAGGTTCAAAGAAGAAGTAAGGTGGGTTTATTCTAAGATACAGAGTCAGGCAGCATTCTTTTTTCTCCTTTCATACCTGTGATAATAACCAATTCCTCACTAGCTGACAAAACCAGACTTGGTGAGGAGTGAATTAAAGACAGGGGTACCTTGTCATTAGTTTTTAGAGCTAAAGATGAATAAAGCAATCTTTCCAAGGAAAGCTGTACAGAAATGGGAAATGAATCAGCAGAGTAAGAAACACTATGCAGGTTCTTTTTTTTTTTTTTTTTTT